TCTGTGGTAACTTTCTCAACCTTTGGTGAACTTGCAGGTCTCTTTTTTGACATCTCAGCAGCACAACGAAATGCCAAAATGACTTTCGCCCGTGTTTGTGAATGAGAAATCAACATATACTTAGCTGCGGCTCAATAATCAAGCTTGGGACAGTTCCCTCAGGGGGTGTATAGAACTGTGATATCGACACTGAACAAATCTTAATAGTATACGTCGCCTGGCCTGTCTTGGCTTTGGCTTTGGCTGCTGTGTGTTTTGCTGGCCTTTTGACGGGTTCATGTTCTTCAGCGCTGGCCGTTGGTTTCCTTTTGTTTCCTTTCTCTGGTTTTGTCTTCGCCTCCACTTCTTCACCCTCTCCAAATCGTGGAGGTGGTACTGGCCAGGTCAAAAGAATACTCCAACCCCAGCAAACCAAAGAAGGATGCAAATCTGCAAATACAAGCGGGTTAGCTAGACTCAGAAAAACACATTGACTTGATGCAAGAATGCGCCACCTGTTGAAAAACATGCGCTTTGTTCCTCGCCTTCGTACGTATCTGTTGGAACTGCAACTTTCTTTGGAGCCGGCTGGGCTGCTCCAGCAGCAGCCTTTGGTACGGCCACTTCCTGCCTCATGAGCTGTTGTAGGTCAAACGCCTTCAGTCAGGGGAGCGGTCGCAGGAAGATGATTCTTTCGATATCTTACAAATAGCAGGCGTGTTCAGAAAAAACATTGGGACCCCAGCTGGAGCAGCATGTCTTCCTGGCTCTGCCACACCACTCATGTGCATCACTTCAGGCTCAGAATCTGAAGTGGATGCCATTCTCAAAAAACGACCCCAAACTCCCACGGGCCAGAACGCAGAGCCAAGAACTTTCCGATTGTTCACAGATCCAATTAGGTTTGCAAGTCTTCTTACGCATGGATAGTGTTGTTTCAATGATTCAAAAAAGGTAGCATTAGCTTCAGAACAAAAGAACCATGCAGCATATCAGCCGATCAACTCAAATGCGCTGGTCACCAATGGCGCGACATCGAACACAAAGAAGGCTTGGCTTTATAGTTCGTTGTGACAAGCAATTTGCTGAGCCATGGAGCACTTTGTTTTCACCTTTTTGTTGGCACCAAGTCAAAATCTAGTTTCAGCCATCTTGGGCATCAGCCAACTTGGGCAGCCACATTCTTGAACTTGCCATGATGTCCGTAAAAGGTGCAATGCTAATTGAAGCACTGCTTGGCCTTGTGAACGCAAAACTATGACTATGACCATGGCCTCCGAGTCCGCAAGGTGACGGTGCTACGAGCGCAGATTTGGATTCCTTTTCTCATCTTTGTACAGCCCTGCACTTAGTCTTAGTTTTGACTGTAGGAAAGATATCGGCGCACGCAAATGCAAACGTCGGAGGCGCAAGCCAACCCAGCCTTTGGATGGGAGTGACACAAGGCCACGCATGTGGCTTCCCATCTACACAACTTGCGAGGATCAACTTGTCCATTGGGTTAACATTCGGTATGATTTGGAACACAGTAGAGTACATGGTCCAAACATGTTAACATTCGTTAACGTTCTGTGCCAAACTGTACTAAAGATGCGAAACAAGACCATGGTCCCAGGTGGAAGTTCTGAAAGGTTTGAACCCCGAATGACAGTATGACTATATTGCAATCAGTTTGCCTAGCTCGACAAGTTGCGGGGTCTACATAATTTGCAAGACCTGATTGGATTCAACAACCAGGTTTCCTTTGAGCACACACACTGGTCGCAATGGAATCAGCTTTGCCCCACCACCTCCGTTGGCCTCCAACCTGGAGCACAAGTTGGAAAGACCACCGCCATCGTTTAAAATCAGCTTCTAGATTCAGGCTGTGAGGCAACGACAGGTTAAGAGTTAAGTCTACAAAACACCTGGGCAACAAAGTGCGTTTGCCTGACGCGCCATGCGATCTCCAGGGCGGCGCACGAAAGCAGTTTCTTCATGTCCAGCTTGTTCCCAAAGGTCACCGCGGAAGCCTATCAAACCCAGGCTCAATGGCGGTCAGGATTTGACCGCTTAGCACTCAATTGAAAACAGTTTATATACGGTTGCCAACCCCCAAACGAAGAAGAAAGCCTTTTGGTTGACGTCCAAAAGCATTGAATGTAAGATTCTGGAGGCTTGAAGTCAAATTAAAATAATGCTTTTCAGAATGAGGTTCACCCGCCTTCGCCTTCTTGTCTTTCTTGCGCTTCTTGTTCTTTGGTTCTTCTGCTTTGGGGGGGTCCATGACAAAGCAAAGTCTCTTCTCGCATTGGATCGAATCATTACCCAAATCGACGGTATGATGAGAAAAGCCAACGTTCACCTGACGGCACATACATGCATTTGGGTTCTATATGATAGATATAGCTAGCTTCACAAGCATGCAATGAAAGACATATGTGGGCCTCACCCTGGTCTTCTAAGGCCAGAAGAAGTTCACGCAGCTTCACGGCCTTCTCAATGCATTGCAGAGAGCTGAGATGGGACAATGCCTTTTTTCTTGTCGAGAATGACAAGCGATGTAAACTTCATGTTCACAGGGATGGCGCTGCCGTCGTCCGACTCCAAAACTTCGACTGCGTCAGTCCCATCATAGAAGCTTCCACTTCCAAAGCTGAACATTTCACGATGGTTCAGCAGATCACACTGGTCCGCAGCTGACTGAAAATACCTTGCTGCATTCAGGCGCTATGAACTAGACTCTTTTGGTGGCAGCGAGCTCCAAAAAGAAAGAAACATAACATAGCGATCCGGAAAGCATAAACCAACTCTTTTGGAGGGAACCAGGCCTGAATGTGTGGAAAGAACGGAAAGAAACTGTCTAAACATTGGTCGACAAAGGGAGGTTGTAACAGAAATGTGTCAATGCAGCGTCAGTTTGCAAAGCAGTTCCGGACTCATTCACCAGCAGGGAGAGGGTTGAGTTGATCTGGAGTTCAGACCTTGGCTATATGGGTCACCTGCCCTTGCTTGCAAGAAATATCATCAATGTGGCTCTAGAAGGCCTAATCTAGGTGAGGGTGAGGGAGTGCGAACAATTGCCAAGGACTGGACAAATCCATGCTGGCCAACTTGTCCATGGTCAGCGGCTCAGCGCTCTCAACCAAAGGGCAGGACATTGGGCCAGAACCTTCACTTTCCACAGGATTGGCGGTGGTCTCCCGCGCAAGTCGCACACCCTCGCGGTTGTACTTGCTGTTATGGTCTTCAATGATGGCGTGAAATTCGGCAATCTCATTCTCACCTTCCCCGAACTGCTCAAAGAAGGGTTCCTTCACAATCAACCCATCAGCATTGACCACGGTGACCTGGTAACCTGGATCTTCACTCCGAGTCTGCGTTTCAGACATCTTTGCGAGAAGCGGGGCAAAGTCAGGGAAGGTTGGAATCAATCCCGCACCCGGATTCGACCGGCAAAGGTCATATGTGGCGTTGACCACTCGATCCATCAAAGAATCAGCATCGCCCGTTTTTTTGGCGGTTCCCACAGCCACACTTGCGCAAAGCAGTTTTGGATTGTCGACCTGCATGCCACTCAAAAAGCTAAGTTCATTCTTTTTGTCTATGGTTTCCAAACATGCTTTGAAAAACTTTATCAAGATGGTTTAAACAAGTTGAAGACTCCAATGGATAGATCACTCCATGCACTGGCC